GTTGTATCTCTCTTCGTGGTTGTCATTTTCCTTTCTTTGTTTGAGAGTTTTGGTAGAAGGCATTTCTCCCTCGTCTTTGTCCAGCTTTTAATATCACTGCTGATCTTTTTCTCAAACCACAGCAATGGAATGATTACCGCCTTGCCTGGAATGCATCTCAGTATTATGGCATTGAGGTTATTCGTGTCCCGTGCAAAACTGTCTGGCTTCCCGATATAGTTCTTGAAAACAAGTAAGGCAGTAACAAAAAGGAGCGCAATTCTGTCTCTTTTGTTTTTTGCGTTCTGGACAGTTTGTTTGTTAACCGGTTCTGGTCTTTGTCCACAGCATTGATGGCAAATTTGATGTGGCCTACTATGCCAATGTGTTGATCAGCAGTGATGGTGGGATTTACTGGCTGCCTCCTGCTATCTATCGCAGCACATGTGCCATTGAGATCACCTACTTTCCGTTTGATTATCAAAACTGCACACTTGCATTCAGGTGGGATTTATTTATCATTTGAAATCTACGTTTATATTATATGTAAGTCTTTCTTTATGCATTTGCTTCTATTAAACGTTGGCTTGATTGCCACAACCGTAGATCCCAGACTTACAGTGCCAATGAAGTGGATCTTACCTTGGCTGTTGGAGAAACGGGAGAGATTATTGAATGGGTGGACATCGACCCTGAGGCTTTCACAGGTACTGTAAATACACCATCCATCCATCCATCCATCCACACATCAATCCATGCCTCAGTCCACATTAACAATCATAATATTCAAGTTTTGAAAATCCTTCAGGTTTTTGCATTTACACCCTTTAGAGAATGGTGAGTGGGCCATTGTCCATCGTCCAGCCAGGAAGATGATCAACAGTCGGTATTCCCCAGATGACCTGGAGTATCAGGAGATCTTGTTCAATCTGGTCATCCAAAGGAAGCCGCTGTTCTACATCATCAATGTTATCCTGCCCTGTTCCCTTATCTCATCTCTGGTCGTACTGGCCTACTTCCTACCTGCACAAGGTCAGTAAGGTCAATGCTTTTCCTGTTTCACTACTAAAGTTTGAAACATGCCGGATGAACACATTTGTCTCATAATTTTCTGTATTCAGATGTAAAACAAAACAATAATGAACTTGATTTGCTCTCCATAATAATTTTAAAATAATTTGGACTTAGCCTTTTTATTGTGTTTGTCACTAATTAATAAAAAATAATCACTAACTGCTAATTCAAAGTAACTGAACTACAGAGCCTAAAGGTTTGATGTGGAAAGCATTCAGCTAAAGCTCTAAGACTGATGTTACTTAAATCATGAAATATTACAAAGTATTCCTTGATGCCTGAAGTAGATGAAAGAGAAGAATGTCCTTTTTTTTTTTTGGTCCAACCGGTCTAACTCTCTGCTGCTCCCTCACAGCTGGAGGACAGAAGCTGACTGTGTCCATCTCTGTTTTGCTGGCTCAGACTGTCTTCCTCTTTCTTATCGCTCAGAAGATCCCCGAGACCTCTCTGTCTGTCCCTCTAATTGGAAAGTGAGTCAGCATGTCCTCTCTGCTGACCCCTGCTGGTTTGTTTTGCTTCAATCCAAACAGTTTGAGCCTGCCCTCCAACAAAGATCTCTCTAATGTCTTCCCCAGGTACCTGATCTTCGTGATGTGTGTCACTACTCTCATTGCTACGAATCAAATTGTAGTGCTGAACTTCTCACTGCGCAGCCCCAGCACTCACAGTATGTCCCAAACCCTAAAACATGTAAGTGCCCTCCACGGAGATGAGTAAACTTGTTTTTTAAAGAGTTATTTCAGTAAAGTGACTGTTGTTAACTTCTATTGCCTGCTGCAGCTGTTCTTGAAAATGGTTCCCCGCTTCTTGGGCATGTCTCCGCTGGTGGACGATAGTGAGGTGACAACAGAGGTAAATGGGGTGAGGGAGCGGCGGCGCAGCTCCTTTGGGCTCATGCAGAGAGCAGAGGAATATGTGCTCAAGCAGCATCGCAGTGAAATGATGTTTGACAAGCAAAGAGAGAGGCATGGTCTCACACGATCCATTGGTAAGACCGTTGATTACAGAGCAACACTCAGCACAGTCTTTAGCCACATTTCAGCTCAAATACTTAAATATTTGAAAATCAAAGTAGAAAATGTATCTGGTTTAATTAGTGCTGATCACTGCAAATTGTCATCTAACGCAGTGTCTCCCTCCCTCTAGTGGACAGTATAGATGTCAGCAGCACAGCTAACCTATATAAGAGTTTGGCCCAAGCTGCACCTGAGATTAAGCAATGTGTGGATGCCTGCAACTTCATTGCTGACAGTACAAGGCAACAAAATACCATTGGCTCTGTGAGTGTTTCTTTGTTTGTTTGTTTTAACTCAACTTCAGTGACGTTTTAGATGAGTAATATTTTGCAGTCAATTTTCATTTTATCCTCACTTGAACTTAAGCTTTTGTTCACTTTCTTTCCAACTCAAGGAAATTGAAAGCTGGGTCTTGATTGGGAAAATGGTCGACAAAGTGTGTTTCTGGGCTGCTATGTCTCTATTCATCATCGGCACAGTGTGGATCTTCCTAACAGGACACTTCAACCGTGCCCCAGAATTACCATTTCCAGGAGAGAGTAAAAAATATGTCCCAACTTAAAAAAGGAGAGAAAAAAAGAAATTTGTCTCTGTTTAATGTTTTCGAGGTATATTTTGCCTCGTGCTGTTTATGATGATGAATGCAATGTTGTTCACTGATCCCATGGTTAAGATTCAGGGCTGAGTTAAGTCTGTGTTTAATAACAACAAAACTTTCTGTTTCCATGCTTGTCAAACACCTGAGCATCAACATTCAACGTTTCTTAACTTCTAAACTAAGTTGTCAGCATTTCTATATTAAATCACAATTATTTTATTAGTTTTGGGGTATGAGAATGTATGCAAGCCCAGACTTACAGCTTATGGATGCATTTTGAAGAAAAAATGTTAACGGCACTGCACCACTTTGCAAAGGGATTTAATTCTATTGCAGAAAATGACTTTTATGACTTTGTTTTGCATAACATGAAGCTACAGGCACTGTATGCTTTAACTAAAGAACCCATTTTACTTGCATGACCATCTACAAAACACTCAGAAAACATATCCCTGCACACATATTATGTCTTATGGTCATTATCTATATATGTAACATGAGCCAACCAACTCTAAATCAAAGCCTTATTCTTCTTACTATGACTTATTATTTGGAATGTATTGCTTACAGTAGATGGCTCAGTGGGACACTGTTTGGCGTTAACTGTACCAGGACTTCTTTTTAAAAAAACAAAACAAATTCTTTAGTTTATTACAAAGTGTGTGTTTTAATCCTGAACTGAATGTCTAAGTAGGTGTTTTATATGTTTATACATCAGACAGTGTGAATCTGCAAAGTGTGGCTAAAACCTAAAACTGTGATCATATTTTTTACAGTTATTTTGAGTGGTGTTACTCAGCTGATTCAATAAATGTGACAGAAATGGGCTAGCAAATAAAAACAAGTCTAAACACTGTTGAAATTTCACACACTGAAGAGACTTGAATGGTCTATGTTTGTTTTTCTGTTCGTGTCCAGCTGTGTTCAAAGTTACACAGTTGTGTATTTAGGGGAGATATTCTATAATATAGTGTGTTTATGGCAAAAACAAAGGCAAGCTCACATCGAATAAGTTTGGATCTGCCATCGGGTTGTATTAATTTTATAATGTGTATAATAATATTTAATAAAGTGGAATAAAATGTGAGATTAAACCACATAGAAAGGTTTGACTGTTGTGTGACTGATAGACTGCTGTTTAAAAATCCAGTCAGACTTGTGGTTGAACGCCTCCATGTGGTGGAAAGTTGCACTAGGGATACTTTGTTAATAGCGCCACCTCACACCAGTTTTTGGAGTTGTCTTTGATTTTTCCGAAAACATCAACCTGTCACATCACTGTTTAAACCAAGATTGTAAAAAAAAGAAAAGAAAAAATCAAACTCAAAAGGTAAAAACCAAACCTTTCACGCCTGTGTTTTTAATATCAAGTCCTAGAAGTATGTTTGCTTTAGATACACTAAGTCTAAAGTTCAGCTGTTACATTGTTACTGTTTTCTCTCAGCGTGTGCAACTTCAGCTACAGGCTAGGCATGTGTGCTGTCATCTAAAACCTGTACCTGTTTCGAAAACCAGTCCGGAAAGTCCTTTTTAGTCATTTCAATTATTTCTCCAACCTGTCAGGCGGGGCTGTGGCTGAGGAAGCTGGTTTATGGTTATCATGCAAACAACTCTCCAGATTTCGCTCACTTTGCATGGGCGTGAGTCATCAACTCTTTTTTTAGGTACTAGCAATATGAAAATGCCATACCTCTGTTCGTTTAATCTAATAATGCACGGTTTATCTTCGAAAATAGGAATACAGATAAAACTAGAATGAAAGTTAAATCTGGTTGATTTTAGTTGATGCTCACGTAACATGTACTTCCGGTGTCCCACTTCAACGTTAAAGTTTGTACAGTTTTTTATTCTAAATAAAACTGTACAAAACACATTGTTGGTTTGTCCTAAAAACGCGTTTTAGATGTAAATTTTGGTATCTCGTCGGATAAAATAAAAAATATATATATAATCGGAAGTCTCCTGATACCTTACGTGATTCTCATGAAAATGGCATACGTGCCGCCTACTCCCTTCTCGTGTATCTGAATTCTTGCATATATGTTTCCTGACAAGTATGAAATCGGGACTTGTTGTGTTCGTGTTTGATAATTGTGGCAGTCCACACGTCAGTAACGTGAACTAAGTCCATGAATGCGCCTGCTATGTACACAGCCGCAGGTACCGGAGGGGGAGGAAGTCATTGTTTGTTGTGTGTCATAATTCCGAACATCACCTGGCTCTTTTCCATATAAGAATAAAAAGGGACATAGTATGATTTACCTAATAACAGTGGCAAAGCAGCAGAAACCATTTCCACGTTATCTTTTCCCTCACGCTGTCCCATCGGACAGCCAGTAATAATGTGGGTGGGACTAAAGCGTGCATCACCCACGGTTAACACTGATGAACTCTTCTCTGATACTCCGGTTGGGCTACAATGAAACATTTTTGTTACTTTGAATGACTCTTTAAGCTCTTCGCCCTGAGTGTGGAGCCGCCGTGAGCCGATCCGTGGCTCGAACTTAGCTGACAGTAAGTATTTTTTCAGGCCTATGTCGGACTTCTATTTCCACCCGCTGTGTTGTCGCAGTACTGACGAGTGCGGATCGTCCAGCTGCAAACTCGCAGGTAGAGATAAGGAATACGGCGATCCTATTAGTGCCGCGCTTAAATCTATGTTTTGTTTCCAACAGATGTCTTTATATGGGAAGTTTTTTTAAAAAAAAACTACACCGAGTCTCTTTGTGGATTGTGGCTGTAGTAGGGAAACAGGGAAAGGGTGGAGACGCCAAAACTTAGCCTTCAGCTTTTCCAGCCTGGAGTCTTAAGTAGACTTTGCTGCTTATAGATGCTTTGTCTTTGGCGAAAAAATTAAAAAGTGATTTTCGTTAGTGTAGATTAGGGTGTGTGCTTAAGAAAACTCCATCAGATGTTTGTTTTATTTCTCTCTTTGTCTTTCTTTAAGACGTTTTTTTAAACACTGACTTTTTGCCCTAACGCTTTAAAAACGTGATCAGGCGGACTATTCTTAGCCACAGCACAGTTTTGGGGGAAAATGCTGATGGTAAGCAAGTGTTGACTCAGCGCTGTTGTTTCAGTCATCAAGTTGATGACTAACAATTGTCTTCTGTCACTTGGTTGCACGTTTTAGAGTCGGTCCGTAGATTTCCCATACAAATTCATTTTAAAGATCACGTATGCAAAGCACAACTTCCCCTTAATCAAGGGAAGACCATTTTTTAAATAGGTCAGCTGATGTTCAGGCTGAAGAGCTGATGAATGATGTTTAAAAGAAAAAGAAAATATGATGGGTATGCAAACAGCTTAAAAAACGGGGGGGGGGGAGGTTGCAGGTGAAGGATTGTCAGAGGTACACTGCTGCACCTGTACACGCACCCAGCTGTGATGTCAGATTGTACATCATCATTGCAGGGTGTGCCATCCTTATCTAGTTGAGGCCATCAGTGAAAACTGCATGGAATTAAGCTGCTATGTGAAGTGTGATTGTTTTGCTGATCGTCTCCTAACATTTCCCTTCCCTTGCCAGGTGTCATTGTTTGAGATAACCACTGGGAGTCAGCAAAGTCAGGAATCTCCTTATTTATCCCTTTATCCATAGGTTTTCTTCCACTTATCCATTCAATTTCTGGAAGCTGGAGCCTATTTCAGCTGTCACAGGGCAAAAGGCAGGGTGCAGGCAGTCAGTCTGTCACAGGGCCGACACAGAGAGACAGACAGCCATTCATAGAGAAATTCACACATAACCGCAGTGACTGCATGCCTTTGGGCTGCGCGATGAAGCTGGAGTACCCATGGAGAACATACAAACTCCACACAGAAAGGCTCCAACTAGATGGTGGATTTGAACTCACCTCCTGCCTTTTCATTATCCAAACAAACACAAAATATGTTTTGAATTCAACACAGCACTGCTATCAGTGTGTTTGATAGTATTTGTAATTGCTCCAGAGTCGGTACTGCTGAGAGATAAAAGTCATCCATTGCACCCCACACATACACACAAACAAAGCCACATTGTTCTTGACACATAGCGTGTGTGTTTAAAGGATTGCGATCATTGGACTCTTGCTAATAGCTTACTTCTCAGCCAGTCACAGCATTCCAATTTGATTAGTCTCATGTTTTATCTTTCATACGAAAGTATAACACCTAAAAGTGTGTGGAAACACACCAAAGATCTCACATGTGAGTGTCTTAAAAAGATCCAGCTCCATAAGTGGAAATAACCAAAAAAAGTCAAAAGTATAAATTGAAATAGCCGAAATTGAGTATGGCCTTAGTGTGGAGTTTTTTTTCCACAGCAATTAAAATGTCACTTGTGCTTTCTTGGGAGGCAAAGGTGGGGAAGATCCGTCCTAATGGGATTAAATTCTAAACCAGATTGTTGTCAAGACAAAAAAGCTTATACGAATACAACATATACACAGTGGTGATCTATATTTAAAAAAACATGGCTGTACAGATGACACATTTGGGATGGATACACTGTGCAAATGTGCAGATCTCTTCAACAGCAGTGCTTTTGATTCATTACATGAGCAAAAAGTGGAAAGAAATCTTGGCCACAAAGTGCTGATTATTAAGCTCATCTGTCACATTTCCTTTTGTTTTCACTCTTAGTCTCCTTATTAGTAGATGCTAGTTTACGCCCGACACAGTAATTGTGACGGGATCTTCAATTATTATTCTCCCTGAACCTGTTTTTGCTACACATGATCCTGTGTAGCTTGTAGTGGAAGTGGAAAGTCACGTTTCTGATAAAAAGAATGCAGACGCAGATTATGCTTCTTTCTTTCTTACCCTTGTTTCAAACTCTCTCCTTAACAGAGACAGGCTCCCTCCCTCCTTTTTCTTAAGCCTCGTTTTCCAGGAAACATTCAGCTATTCTACATTTACCAACATGCAACACAAAGGGTTTCACACACCCTTTTTTTTCACCAGTAACCTTGTCCTAAACTTCTCATATGTTTTGACATAAACGACTTGCCTAGCAGGTCGCTGCTGACAAACATTTCCAGTTTGCTTTCTATTTTCATGCAAGTGATATCTAAAGCAGTCTGTTTTTACAGAAGTGATAATGGTGGTTGTCCTTGAATTCCCCCTGTTGAGCAATCATGATATGTCATCATTATTGAGCATTAGATTCACTTCAAGGTCATGATCACACTGACGGATTTTGCTAAGCATCAAACACTTAAACTGCATCTCTCTGTCTGTTTTAAAGCTGACATGTTTGTGGTTACAGGTCTGTATTATTGCCTCTATTACTACTTTTCCTACAGAAAATCTGAAGTCAGATACTCTTGCTTTAAAATCCGATTTTGCTATGATCTATATCACGAGAAAGGCCACAGTTTCACATGTCTTTGATCTCTGGACTGTTTTCTTTTGTCTTCTCACCAGGGCATTTGATCATTTGTGCAACAGAGCTATGGCCAGTCCAGAGGACGTGATCGAGCCGTTGGCAGAGAGCGCAGCTGCCCAAAGCCTTAATAGACGACGCTTCTCACACGACTGCCACGATTTGACTAAAGACGAGCTAGATGGCCTCATGTCGCGCAGTGGTGAGAAACGACGAAAATGAATTTAGTTTAAGATAGAAGCTCCCAGAAAACCATTTTTCTTGATTGCTTCAATTTTTCAAATCGCAGAAGGACGTCCTTTCATCGTGGTGCATCGTCTTTCCGAAATAGAAGATAAGGGTATACCTTATTTCATCCCTGATGTTCCTGTTAAATGCAGACTGGACAACACAGAGAAGCACACTACACGCTCAAGGGTACCTCCATAAACTTACGAAAATACCCTTTACATTTTTTTCTTTTTGGGATACTAATGAATCTTTATAGAAAGCTCTTGATGGGCCCAAAGTGAAAACACACACACTTATGCTTAATAAGTAACTCTTTACAACTGTGTAACAACAGACAATCCCATTTTCGATTTTGACTCAGGACATGCCAGGGTTAAATTTGACTACTTTGCCATGATGACGTTAAGTCATAGTGAAGCGAAAGGAGCGATAAAATTACAAAAGAAAACTTTATTGCTACTGAGCAGGCTGTTTCAGGGTTTTACAGTGTGCTGTCACTTTGGCCATAAAGGGATCAACATGGCCAGCAGCAATGCTCAGTGGTGCTTAAATGATGCTCACTTGGTAGTACGGGGCTCAAAGTGTGACAAGAAAATACCCCCCACACCATTACACCACTACCACCAGCAGCCTGAACCATGGATGCAAGGCACCAGAGACAACAACCATGCCACGTTCAAAGTCATTTAAATCAAATTTCTTTCGCATTCAAAATGATTAACAGCAGAATTTCATTTGTGGTGAATTTTATTATGACTGTTGTTGAATGAGTCCTAAAGATAATATTTAAGTGATCTGAAACCAACCATATGACCATGAAACAGTCAGTCACATTTATTTCTACATAGTCATTTATATTAAAAAGCAGAAGTTCATGGGTATCTTAACAAGTACTGATCTTCATGTCACTTTATTTGTAAGTTAACTCCTGAGTTTTAGTTGGATGGCTCAGTCAGTTTGCATATACTTTCCATATTCTGGTATCCACATTCTCTGATTTTCTTTCTCCCACAGTCCAGAACGGTGAATGTAAGTAGAATTAGAAACTTGTTTCTACGTGTTTCAATCCAATCCACATGCTAAATGTCTTGCCTGATTTGCTTATATCCTCCGGAAACCCAAACTTTTTTTTTAATGCATTTTTAATCTTAGCTATTTGGGATTAGCTGATTATAAAAACTGTCTGCATGTGGAAACAGTGGGTTTATTTTACAACACAGTAAAGTATTTTCAGTGGGAGAAATTGACTTCTTCACTGTCCAGATGAACAGAATCAACTTTTTGGGGTCATTCTTTTTTATTTTTACAAAGTGTAAAACACTTTATTGAGTAGAATGAAGTAGAACGTGCGTAAAAGCATAAATGTAATTTCTCCATATGAGGACATAGGTTCTCAGGAGGATATGAAACAAAAAAACCCTTTACGCTACTTCCTGGTTCATCTTTGATCTGCAGCACTTACAAAATGGCAATTAAAAAAGGACTTTGGGTGTCTTAACTCTTATCTTCCAAGTAAGTGATTTAGAGATAAATTCATCTGTCTATTCAAATTGTGGCTTTCTTTCTTACTGGGAACTACGTTAAAGCTGTGGCTGGCAAAACACAGTCCAGTTGCTATGAAAACAAGAGCTAATAAGAAAAATTCTATTCCATTCAAATCACTCAAATTTTTCCCATTTGGTGGTTCCCCTTTTTCACCACCACACTTGTGTTTTTGAATGATATCAATGATGTCCCTCCAGGTTAGTATTGGGACCCTGTATACACTGCATCTAACACATGGCCAGTTCCACTGGACTATAAAGAGGAAGTACAAGAACTTTCAGGAGGTGCATCGCGACCTTTACAAGCACAAGATGATGCTTCATTTACTGCCTATTGGAAGGTTGGTGTGCTGATCGATTTAACTGTGCAACTTGGCCTCTCTCTCTTAATGCAGTTGAAATCTGAGTAATTGTTTGTTTTGAGCTTTTTTTATGGCAGTTCTCTCAAGCGCAGAATGTTTTTGAATATTCAAATTTTCCTCAAAGATTTGCAAAGGAGAGGCAGCAGCTGAGAAATATGTCGGAGGAAATGCCCAGCCTACATGGGACTGAGCGGGCCAGAAGAACCTCCAGCAAAGTGGTATATAAATCAGTCTTCCACACACTGAACATATTTTGAAGCATCACATAATTTTACAAGTAGCAGCTGGTAAGTAAATTGTAAATATGTGCTCTTCTAATGCAGAAACACCTTGAGGAGTACCTGAATTGTCTACTGGAGAACACATTCTGTAAAAATGATAGCAGCATGGTAAGCATGGGTGAATAATATATACACTACACTGCAAAAGTTTTAAATCAGCCCTCTTCTCTGTATATTTTGCTTCCAAGGACCCAGACCTTTTCAAGATATTCTTTAAAAATGGCTGATTTTTCATACATTTTCAGTCCTTGTACCTGACCATTTTTAGAGAAATGTCTTTTTGTTTGTTAAGACACTTAACGCATACCTATTCATCATTCAAGTACATCATTCAAGTACAAAAGATGCACCTAACCCAAGGAATGAACCAGTGTTGTCTACACTTAGCAGACAACTTAACAAAGAATCGGTTTTAAATTGTGTTAGGCAGCCTGTCATAAAAACACATAATTTAATCCACTTTCATAAAATGAATCTACCAAAAATGCAAAAGATAACATAGTCTTACAAGAATGAAATGATGTTTTTGCAACAACAAAATGATTCCCACAAAGCTATTAGTCTAAAACTTGGCACGAACACAGAAAAATTCTTTCACATTTTGATTCACCATACAATACCCATCTAGAAAGCCTCTAATTGGCAACAGGTTTATGCCAATGCAGCAAAGGATACGTGGATAGAAAAACCCACAGTGGAACACTCTCAGTCATGAGTTGGACAAAATATGACCAAATATTGACTTTGAAGCTTGTTAGAATTGTACATTACCTGATTTTCTTGATTTTTATACTGTACTCCCATGTATGTTTGGACATTTTAAAATAAATTGTTGCACCTATTTCTAATGTTTCTAGCAAAATACAAAGAAAAGGGAAGTGGCTCAAGACTTTTCATTGTACCATCTCGACATACAAAGTAAATCCCAGGTAAAATGACTGCATTTTGAGTTATATTTTGTTTTGCAGCTGGAGTTCCTCTCCATCAGTCCCCTCTCCTTTGTCTCTGATCTTGGACCCAAGGGCTTGTAAGCAAAACACTGAGCTCATGTATTTTAGTGGGTTGGGAGTGAATAAGGGTATGGCAGGTGTTCATTGCATAATATGTCTGATCTTGACTCAGGGAGGGATATATCTTGAAGAGGTCAGGGGGTCACCGAATCCTAGGCCTGAACTGTATAGGCCATCATCAGATCTGCTTCCGCTGGTCACGCCGCTGGCTGGTGGTGAAAGACTCTTTCCTGTTGTACATGAAACGAGATAGTGGCAGCATCGACTTTGTGCTGCTGTTTGATCCAGAGTTCAAAACAAAAGTGGGTCGTGCTGACACAGGCACCAAATATGGAGTGTGCTTTGAGAACTTTAATCGGTAGGTCAGCTTTGTCTTTGTGTATTATATGTACTGAGTTTTGCGTGTTTTTGCTGTGTTTGTGATGCCCGCATTGCCTTTGTGCTTTTAATCCTTTTAATCAGGAATTTGATTATCAAGTGCAACGGCTATAGGCAAAGTCAATGGTGGAATTCTGAAATCAAGCATCTGGCAGAAACATGTGACTTTCTCAAAACGCAACGCTTCGAAGGATTCGCTCCACCGCGGGAGAACACGCTCACTAAATGGTCAGTTATGTAGTCTGGCTCATATTTGTAATAATTCCAATAATCTTTTAGGATTTGTCCTCAATTTACCTTTCATTATTTGAAGGTATGTGAATGGAAGTGGTTACTTCGCTGACCTGGCTGATGCTCTCGAACAAGCCAAGGAGGAGATTTTCATCACAGATTGGTGGTAGGTGTCAAAAATGTCTGGATTTGCTGATCAAAATCTTTATGTAACTATAATTTTTCAATATTTTAGTTAAACCTGGAAACATATTCTGTGTGTGTGTGTGTGCGTTTTGTTTTTTTGTTTTTTTGTTTTTTTTGGGCTTTTTTCACAGGCTCAGTCCTGAAGTCTTCCTAAAGAGACCAGCAACTAACTACTACTGGCGGCTCGATGAGATCCTCAAACGCAAAGCAGTAGGAAGTCTCTCTGTCTTGTTTTTGTTGCCATCTTGTTTTTTTTCTTCTTCTTTTTCAAAATGTATATAATTTGTAGAGTTTTTTTAAAATAACATTACTTTAAATGAACCTGTTTCTGCAGGAAATGGGAGTCAAAGTGTGTGTACTGCTGTACAAAGAGGTGGAGATGGCACTTGGCATCAATAGTGAGCACAGCAAGAGGACTCTAATGAATATGCACCCAAACATCAAGGTCTTTCACTTCTCTGCACAATGTCTTGTAGAGTAGTAGGAGAGGAGGGACACAAATAACTGTCAAAAGAGCCCTGAATGCACATTTTAACACCAGTTTTACCCACTGATCCGTCAGGTGATGCGGCATCCTGACCACGTGTCTTCTGTGGTGTTTCTGTGGGCTCACCATGAGAAGATGGTGGCCATTGACCAAACAGTAGCCTTTGTAGGGGGGCTTGACCTGGCTTTTGGGAGATGGGATGACAGCCAGCATCACCTAACTGACCTTGGTTTGACAGAGACGACCGACGGGGTAACTGAAGGCGAAACGAGGAACGATGTAGATGTAAGAATGTACTGTGAACCGTACAGACTGTAATGGATGACTCTGTTATCCAGGGCAATGGTATGGCTGGTGGCTCTAAAACATCTGAGCCAGATAAGCAAGGAGAGCAGGACCCACATGATTTGACTGGTAACACTAAACTGTGGCTTGGCAAAGATTACAATAACTTTATCAAGAGAGACTGGGTCCAGCTGGATAGACCATTTGAAGGTACTCTATCTAAATTTCTTTCAGCAGCTCATGCACACACATACACTGACAATGCCTGAACAGAGAGATGAAAGACTTGTTTTGGGTTTTTGTTGCTTCCTTTCCCCCCTCTTTTATCTTGTCAGATAACATTGATCGTACTACAGTTCCTCGCATGCCGTGGCGTGACCTGTCTGCAGCTTTTCATGGCAAAGCTGCCAGGGATGTAGCCCGCCACTTCATCCAGCGCTGGAATTTTACCAAGGTCAGACACTAAAGAAAGCTGTGTTAAACAGCAATAGTTTTAACATTGATCTTTAAATATCTATATGTATATTGTAAACATCACTTTTGCTTTACAAATGAGTCTATAGGTGTACAAGCTACAGGTTGGTTTAACATTTATACTATAAATATCCAAAGTTGTGAAACTGAAACATTGGATTGAAAATAGGTGATCTTTACTAAAACAGAGCTTAAAATAATCAGACTCCTGTATTACTGACTTGGACCTTGTATCCTTTTGTTTTATGTTATCCTGTGTGGTAATATGACTCATACAGTAAGTGCTAAAAACAAACAAACATCCCAACCCTCATGTTTCCATTAGAAGTATTGCTTAAAAACCTTTAAGCAATGCTTTGGAAACATGAGTAACAGGAAAGTGACAAAACTGAAATTGATTCATTTTTTCTGTCCTCTTCAGATCTTCAAAATCAAGTACAAAGACGACTTCTACCCTTACCTACTCCCCAAGTCTCATTCCACTGCTGACTCTCTGCCATTCACTGTGCCTGGGTCCAAGAAAGCCAAAGTGCAGGTATGTATATTCACACACAGACTCAAGATGACGTCAACATCTGTGTAAATATACAATTTTTTAAGTTCTAGTCTTTTTGCTCACAGATAGGCCCACATATGTGCTACTGTGGTCAGGGTATATTTTAGGTGCTTTAAGATTAAACAGTTCCGGGAATTCCCTGTGGGTAACTACCCACTTCCATGGCCCTCTGAGAACTATATTTTTTTCCAATTTGCTTAAATCACCAGTAGTAACGCTAATGTGATGCGTTAGCCAGCTGGTAGTTTGCAGAGCCACAACAACAGCAACATGCTGGGGGACTCTGTATCTGGAGCTGTTTGCTTGTTGTGTGTTCCAGGTTGCTGACAACAGCACAGATGTGCAAATTCATATTATGCAAATCAAATTGTGAATTTTGTGGGCTTTAAAGTAAAACAACATATCATCGCAACTGACCATTTTCTTTATATGCTGTCAATTATACAAGGAGTAAGTAATCTTAAACAGGTTAGTGGCTCTAACTCTTTCACTGTGCCTCCCACAGCTGCTGATTATAGTCTCCAAAAGCATCAATAAATCAATCAATCATCAGTGCCCAGCATATTCTCATCTATTGCCAAGGATAGCACGCAGGAAAACATACTGGAACCACTTTGGTTGTTGTGGCCCTTTAACTTTGTTGTAATCCAAATTTAATTGATTATAATCACTTGATAAAGCCTAGACTTTTCCATTTGAGAGGAATGTGTTGTTTACACGGGCAGTGTTAAAATCCTTCTTTAATGACTCTGCTTATGTTTACATAGGTTTTTCAGATCTTTCCTGCAGTCCAAAGAGCACCTTTTTAGCCCTTTCATACATTGTCGTCAAAACACTGACAGGTTAAGATGTGAGCCTTCGTGCATATGATGTGACATTAGCATGCTAGATACATTATATAAGTATTTATTATTATATTATTATATAATAGTTTCATTCACCACTGCTTACATATTTGCTGCAGAACTGTAGCTGGTTGTAAAACGTTCCACAGTTCTGTTTCAGCAGTTCAGTCATGTGCAAAAGAAAGTGTAACCCCTTTCATTTCTAATGTTTTATGTAACAAGAGAAACCTCATCATTGCAGTTTTTTAAATGCAATCTCAGATGAACTTCAAAACATGACTTATTACCCTGTCATTATTTAGTGAACAAAAATGAAGCCAAAATGAAAAGCAGTGTGTGCAAAACTTAGTACAATCTTACTGCTTCCATAGGAATTACGAGGGTAAGTAGCAGCCAGGTGCTGCTAATCAAGTGCACTTCATTAATTAATCATCAGTAAGTGTGAGCACCTCCAGTAGAGAAGCAAGTTGTTGCTGCCTATCAATCTGGGAAGGTTTTTAAGGTCATTTCCTTACAATCTGAAGTCCATGTTTGTACAGTGACAAAGATTATTCACAAGTGGAAAATATTAAAGATAGCCACCAATCTTCCCAGGAGTGGATGTCCCAGCAAATTCCCTCCAGTGTCCGAGTGTGCAGACTCTACAGATTTAGCATAAACCAGACACGGCAGATCAGACCACACAGCTCATACTGTCACACCTCACTGTCATGCATGGTGGTGGTGCGGTGATTATTTGGGCAGGCTAGCTTGAACCAGATAATTTTTTTTATTCTGTCTGATATGTAAAACCTCAGAACTAAAAGAGTCTGTACTTTCATTTGCACAGGACTGTAGGCTTCACACTAGAGCTTGATAGAAACTGGGTTCTCCTACACAGAAGGTCAACCTTGGATACGGGAAAACACAAAGACTTTGCCTCTAGCTGCCAGTGCTCATATGAAAGACTTTTTGTGTCACACAGCTCCAAGCTATAATGACATGGTGTAAAGAGAGCTTTCAACATCACTGTTAAGACGGCAAGAAGAATTGAAAACATGTAGAGTGCACATTAATGAAACGTTGCTGTTGGTCATATGTATACTGTATTCTTATTGAATAATTATTTAAGACCTTAATTGCTGTAAACAAGCCAAGAATGAAAGACCTCTACTGACTTTTACATGAATTTATTCTTTTGTGCTGCCAGGTCAGATCTTACAGAGGAAATCAGATGGGTATTTCTGTGCTACAACAAAGAGACACTGTTCTAGTGTTGGAAATGCAGCTATTCAGTATTTGCTGGGTTTTGGGGGTTTTTTGTGCTATGGCAGATGGTGGAACAAAAGTAAAGGCTGTAGAACAAAACTACTTCCAACATATTTATCCTGTTTAGTAAAGCCAGAGAAAACAAATGCAATGCCAAGGACAGAGTGGGATTACAAGTGGCAGCATCTCATTTGCAACAGGCTTCATAGGATCTATGGTCCAGAGAGACACCAGCATAAGCAGCACAACTAGCAGATATCCCCTTAACAGAATAATAAAATAATAATATATTGCTAAAGATGGTGCGTTATCAACTTTGTGAAGATGCTTGTTTTGTTAGAATAATTCAAAAACAAGATGACAATATGTTAGAACTGTATTTAATCAGTATTTTTAGCCAGTGTTACATGCTGCAGTTAAAACCGCTCAATCAGTGAGTGTCCAGTAACAGATACTTCTATTGTGGATGGTGGCCTGTAACCATAACCCTTGCTCCCCATTATGTTGTAGCTTTCCTATCAGGTTCTGTAGCTGCTTTATTCAGGTTTCAGGGTCATTGCCTCAGATTACACAATCTGTCTTCAAACTTTAAGAGGTGCGCTCCCTTTTTGTGCATCTGCTCCATTTCTTCTGTTAAGTATCCTATTAAAATTCATAGAAATGGGCAAATTTACATGTGCAAGGTAATATGATATGTAAGTGTGATTGCAATGGTGAATATCCACAGTAATAGTAAAATGACACCATTAAAAAGAGAAAATATATGCATGATTTATAAGTATATCCAGTGCTAAGTTGAATTTTTGGGGTTTTCTCAGGTGCTGCGCTCTGCTGATCGTTGGTCAACTGGAACCTGTGAGAGCTCAATCCATAACGCCTACATCGACACCATCAACAAGAGTGAACACTACATCTACATCGAGGTAATTAAGATTAACATTGTAGCACTTCACAGATAAATGTACATCTTTAAGCAGGCAGTGTGTCATCCTGTCTAAACCATATTAAGGCTCGCTGTGCCTTAATATGGTTTAGACAGCAGTGATACAGTCAGGGCTCCCATTGGGACAAAATTGTCACCGTAATCACAAATATGTTGCCCAAGAATAGGCTCTGATTTGGAAAAAACAAATCTGTTTACCAGCATGCCTACTGTAATGACTTTTCCTGAATCTGAGTATATCCAAAGCCCACTTCCTTCATTGCCAGCTACCTGCTAGCTTTGGCCCTCACCTCATACTGAGCCACCATCTGCCTTGCCTCTGCCCTTAGAACCAGTTCTTCATCAGCTGTTCCGACCAGAAGACTGTCCATAATGGCATTGGTGATGCAATCGTGAATCGAATTCTGCGTGCCTACAGGTATGATTTGAGTGTGTTGGTTTTCTAATATTTGTCTATTGTCTTTCGGAAGGGCTGTGTACAAAATGCATTCATTAAATATGTTTTGTACCAGATTTAGCTACTAGCTAATTTCCATCTGCAGTCCCTGGGCAATTTAAGAAGCAGAAGTAGCTGAATTCTATCAGCTCAGACACACATACAACAGTTACAAGTGTTTCTTACTTGTTGGCCAGCAGCATCCCATGAAGGAGCAGTGGCCATCTTCAGCTAAGATGCTCATTTTTAACTTGTAACGATGTGTGACAGCGGCTGTCAATCATTAGTGTATGCCCTGCCCATGCCTCGCCCACTTGACACATGCCCACAACACAAAATCAGGGTCAAAAGTTTGACAAATGAAAAAAAGCGGGAAAAAAGGCCCGAAACTGAAAAAAAAATTAATTTGTAACAGAAAATAAAATTTGAAGCTGAAAAAAATGAAACTAAAAAAAAAGTCATTTCCATGAAAACAAATTATTTATTCAAATTATTTTTATATCAAAAAGAATTTCAACTTCAAATCACCTTTTTGAAATGAGTAAAACTTTTGACCATGATTTAGCTCCATACTTTGTAATTCAGCAGAAACTCACTCAGGTCCTTGCATGCCATCAGATTTGTCTTGTGGTTTTTTTCCATATTGCATTGAAATGTTTAGAAAAGCTGTGGCTTTAAAACAGCAGTTTGTGAAAGAAGTTAAGACAAGACATGTAAGAACAAATGCAAATATCACTGAGCTGGTAAACTGGGGGTACACATTTGAAACAAAATGTTTAGTTCAAAGAAATAACAAAACCAAATAGAAATATACATTAGACCTCATCTTTTATCTGCAGAGTACAATGTACAGTGTTGATGTTGTGTTTTTTTCAGAGAAAAGAAGAAGTACAGGGTGTATGTGGTGGTGCCTCTGCTTCCTGGATTTGAAGGAGACATCAGTACAGGAGGTGGAAATGCCATTCAAGCTATTCTGCACTTCACTTACAGGTGAGAGCCTTTTCCGCCCATTAGCACTCTGCACTCAGCCCACACATCAGCAAGCACTACAACTTATGAAAGCCACAGTAAAAACAAGACTTCTCAGCTTCGTCTGGTTTAAAGATATATTTCTGATCGAGCAGAAATGTCACTGATAGAAAATGCATAAGACATGTCAATAAAACTGGTAATGGAAGTTGGGGTAGCTACCATGCATGTAAGGTTTCTATCAATCAACTGGTCCAACTGGAATAGAGCATATCGAGTCATATTACATATTACATTGAGTGATGTTGCTTAATCAGCTTTGTCAGCATGTTGTTATTGCCAGAATGCAGCATGGCCATGTTATGGTTTCACTATCATCCATCACATTTCCAAATCTGCCTTTGATGTTATGCCCAGAAGTGTACTCTCTGTATATGCTCTAGATATTTTTGGTTTGTTTTTTTTGTGAGATTCCTAAATTATTTCCCCTTATGCTGGCTGGCTTTCTTAATGTAAGGTTTTATTCTGTCATCCTAGGACCATGTGCCGAGGGGAGTTCTCCATCCTGTCAAGACTAAGCGAATGTACGTTTTTTTTGTCACTTACCTGCTTTGTTAGACCTCGGAAATCAGCCTGACATCAGCCTTTGCTGCCTGGCTAACATGCATCTTTCCTTCCCCTTGAGTTGTTCCTTTAAATTGACTCTACTGGTCTTCACTTCACATCATCTCATGTAAATAATGTGTTTCTGCTCTGGCCTGCAGTGAAGGATCAGTGGACAGAGTACATCACACTGTGCGGATTGAGGACGCATGCCCAGCTCTCCGAGTCACCTGTCACAGAGCTCATCTATGTTCACAGCAAGACCCTCATTGCTGATGACCGCTGCTATATCATTGGTGAGTCACCGCTGGGCATTCAAGGATTATAATTCTGACCTTGAGTCATCACAGAGGTTCATGACAAAATGATGATGACATAATGCTGCCTGCAGCTGATATGATTTTTTTTAATGTGTTTTTGGCTTTCAATGTAACAATAAAACTGAATCGATACATTTTATATGTAGTTTAGTAGCACCTATAACTGTAGAATACGGATATGAACGAATACAGTCATTTATATATAAAAAGATAAGAAAAATAGGACGACTTAAAAAATGGATGAGACCAATGTATGGTGCAATGACTTTGAATTCTTTTTTCTTTCTTTCTTTCATTGTTTAGCCTTACACTCTTTAAGATTTTAGGCTTACTCCATATGAATATGCAGATTCACATGCAAGTCTTTGTGGGAGGAACAGAGGGATTGCATTTGCTTAAACGTGCTCTGGAACCCACTAGCTATTGATGACAGTTAGCTTTGTATTACATTTTAAAAAGATTTATCTGAATTCTTAAAGGTACAGTGAAGTTGTTTTTTGAGTTTGTTGAACAGAAAAACAGAATATTATACTCAACAACATTCTTATAAATATTGATTAGTGTGTAAGTACGTTTTCCAACAAACTGATGCATTCTCATAAACGTAATCCATTAAAAATACATAGAAGCGGGCACTAATCGATGGAAGTTAACCATGTTACCCCACCCTCTTGAATACAGTGATTCAGATGAACATCGCCGTCCCGCTTAATCATGTTTTATGTATGTGGGTAGAGACAGCTACATACACAGTACGCCAAAGGTGGAGGAGAAGTGAACTCATAGGTGTGGAGACAAATGTAATTTATGTCTGCACCTTTAGTCTCAAGAAGGTATGAAGGGTCATGCGTTTGTTTTATCTCCTGAACTGAAGTCAGTGCTCTAACAAAAAAACACGCTTAAACAATCGTATTTAATGTCGATACTGCTGCAGTTACTTACTGTCAGCAGATCAGACATGTGATCCTCCAATATCTGGAGAGCTGATAATTAGCCAACTAAATGGCAACAACAGCTGGTTATGCTAACATTGTGCTAGCTAATGTTAGGCTCGAGTGTCAGATCACTCTGATAAAGAGTCTGAATACATTTTCACACTGTATGAAAATATCCGAGGTCAAAAATGTTAGAACCAATTCAAAGAAAGTTTCACTAACAGAGGCTAACAGCGGCAAAAAAATAAAAATAAAAATCAGGATGTTGTCAACAAATCACCTCCGAATCTCTGTCATTAGATAGATTTGAGCTTTAGAGACTCATGCTGACATATTGAACTCCATTTCCAAAATTTTACAGCCTCCTCCAGAGTAAATAGACGTGAATGCATTGGAGATTAATCTGCTAAACATTCACAAATACAGCCAGCAATGAAATTTTAAATATAGAAAGTTTAAAGCATACATTTTTATTTGATATTTCTCACTATATTCTGTACACCTTATAGGTTGTCGGCTATAGGTTCTATGTATTTTTTTCTTTTGCACTTAATACATGAAGAAAGATAAACAAAATGCTCTAAACAGTCCATGGACCTATTAGATAAAGCAGAACTAGAG